CTCCACCAGTAATGTCTGAGGGTTCCAGTCTTTTTCATAATAGTTATCCTAGTAGGTGTGAAGCAGTAGTTCATTGTAGTTATGATTTGGAATTCTATGATGACTAAAGATGTTGACCATCTTTTCATGTGCTTATTGCCTGTTTATATATCTTCTTTGGAGAAATGTCTATTCAGATCCGTTGTCCATATTTTAATTGGGTTGCCTTTTTATTATTGCATTGTAAGACTTCTAAATATATTCTGGATACAAGTTTCACACAAATGATTTGTAAATATTTTCTCTTATTCTGTGGGTTGTCTTTTCACTTTCTTGATGGTGCCTTTTGAAGCACAAGTGTTTTTAATTTTGGTGAAATCCAATTTATCTTTTTTATCACTTGTGCTTTTTTTAAAAAAAATTATTTTTTGTTGTTGTTGAGAATATACACAGCAAAACATAAACCAATTCAGTAGTTCCTACATGTTCAATTCGGTGACATTGATTACATTCTTTGAGTTTTGCAACCATTCTCACCCTCCTTTTCTGAGTTGTTCTCTCCCATAAACATAAACTCACTGCCCCCTAAGTTTCCTACCTAAGGTTTCAAGTTGTTGTCAGTTTGATCCCATATAGATAGATATCACTTGTGCTTTTGGTATCCTATCTAAAAGCCTTTGCCTAACCCAAGATTGCAAAGATTTAGTCTTATGTTTTCTTCTATGTGTTTTATAGTTTTAGCTCTTACGTTTAGGTTTATGATCCAGTTGGAGTTAATTTTTGTGTATGGTGCAAGGAAGGGGGTATAACTTCATTCTTTTGCATGTGGCTATCCACTTGTCCCACCACCATTTGTTGAAAAGACTCCCCCTCACCCTTTGAATTTATTGGTATTTTTGTTGAAGATCAGTTGGGCATAAACGAGGGTTTATTTCTGGGCTCTCAATTCTGTTCCACTGTCTTTATTACAGTACCACACTGTTTTGATTATTGTAGCTTTGCGGTAAGTTTTGGAATGGGGAAGTGTGCATCTTCCGACTTGGTTCTTCTTTTCAAGATTGTTTTGGCTATCCTGGGTCCCTTGCATTTCTGTATGAATTTCAGGATCAGTTTGTCAATTTTAGCTATTAGGTTTTACAATTGCAATTTTAAAAAACATTTATGAAGATCATTTACTACAAGAAAATCGACATTCTTATAATGTTCTACATTTTTTTGATTCATGATTGTGTTTTTGAAGTTTGCTAACTTCTTAATTGCATCTTAACATTTTAAAATTGCTTTGTTTTTTGTTAATTGAGCTTCGAACATAACCTTGTTTGATGTTTTTGACTATTATAATAATACTTCTATGAACATTTTTATACAAGTGGTTGTGTGTCCCGGTTACTAAATGAATGAGAATAAACTTTGATATCTGAAATCCAGGGAGCATTCCAAAATCTAACGAATGTTTCAGTATTTGCCTTCACTTCCATTAAATATGGTATTGGAACAGAACTTGAGTACAGATTGTAAAATAGACTGCATTTTATTTTATTTTCCGCCTGAAATTGGGGCTGAAAGCTCTAAATTGGAGCTTAAAAACATCCAAAGGAGGGCTAAATGAACTAGGAAAATCTAGGAACTAACTACATAACCAGCTTCTGAGAATTTGGTAGTTGTCTGTTTACAGACAACTTGAAATTTATGTATTTCAGGATAATTTTTAAAACAATTCCTTAAAATGAAAAATTCACAGTATTGATTTCACTTTTCCCCCTATGTTTAAAGTGGCACTGTTAAAATGAAATCGAACTAACAAAGTAAGGATGTGGGACCTCTTAAAGTTTTAGGTTTATAACAACAGCCTATTAATTTAACCCCCCACACGTATGTAGTTCAGTTTTTTCATTGTGCATTTGTTAGAGGAAAGTTTAAATCATTCAAACTTCCTTCAAGCTCTTTTAAAAACAACACATCCTGCCTTCTTCTTTATAGTTTTTCTTAACTAAAACTATATGCTGAGTTACAAATCCTTTATAGTATACTCTAAAGAGAAAAATGTATTGAAAACTTCTACTCAGCAGGTGTTTTGTTGCTGATAAGTCAGTTTTTGCCAGAGAGTATTGTGCCATTGATAATTAAGCTGAAAATGTTTTTTATTTTCTAATAAAGTTGGACAGCAAAAATACTTTTGATAGCAGAAATCCACACCATTACCTTTCATACGTACAAACAATTGTTAGCCCTTCAAAAGATTACGTAATTTAAAAAAGCTATATCCTTGAGGTTATCTGGTCAACTTTGCACTATAATAATTAAAATTGCTTTGCATTTTTGTGTAAGGCCAAATTATTTATTTTAAGAATTAGAAAAAAGGAATGGGTTTCATAGGTGATAATTATTTAAGGGGAAAAAGGTAAGTAAGCACAGCACTTGAATTGATTACTTTATAAGCCTCATTTTAGGTAATAATCTCCATCTCTGTGTGTGTCCGTATATATATATGTGTTTATTATGTTGTATATATATATATACACCCACACCTACTCCTCAGTTATTGACCATCTTGTTATCTGACATTTCACATTTACGACAATAGTAAAAAATCTACTATTCAACTATTTTGTACATTATTGAGGTGGCGGGCTTGGCGGCAATGGCTGCGGAGCAACCCTTTCCCTCAGGGAGGGTCTCTGGGCAGACTCCAGGAAGCTGGGCTGTGCTTCCCCTAGCCTTCTACTCCCTCCTGCTGGTAGGGGTGTCGTGTCCAGCTGCTGCACGGGCTCCCCTCCTTGGTGGTGATGGCCTCCAGGCGGATGTGCAGGCAGCACCAAGCCAGTGAGTGCCTGTTCAGAGTTCACAGCTCCTATGTGACCTGAGGCCCTGCAGCTCAAAATTGCAATGGGAGCTCAAAATTGCTATGGGGTGGAAAGGGAGGAAAGAAAGAGGCATCGAGAGGGTGTTTGGAAGAAATGTGTGCGAGTTTAATGATATCCGAAAGTGAGTGGAGCTAGGCCTGAAGCCTCTGCCTTGGTGGGGCTGGATGCCTGGCCAGGCTCCCAGCTCTGCAGTGACTCACCAGGCGTGGGGGACAGAGCAGGCATCTTGAATACAGGGCTTGCAGGGGTGGGAGTGGAGCCCTGGAGGTGGTTCCAAGAGAAAAGCTCTGACCTAGCAGAGGGGGATGGTGAAGTGGTTAAGCGGTGGGCCCTCCAATCACACAGCCTGGCTTTATCCACCTTTGTCTCCTCCAGGCCTTCTTCTCAGCAGAGGAATAGTCTATAACTGGACTCAGCACAGGGATGAGCACATCAGCAAATTTTAGCTGTTATTATTTCTATGATCATATTTTCTGAATTAAAAAAACCAGACAAATGGATGGTCTGAAAACAAAACAGAAAAAACCCTCTGTTTTCGCGTAACGCTGATGTTTTGCATAACGACCTGGTGTTTGGAACCTAACCATGTTGTTAAGTGAGGAGTGGGTGTATATAGCATAAGAAACATTCACCCAAAGACCCCAGGTATTCTTTAGCATACATCATGTTGAATGAACGGACATCATCACCATTTTAGTTAGATGACTTTTACTAAAGATTATCTCTACGGGGGCATTGGTGGCTCAGTGTTAGAATTCTCGCTTTGCATGCTGAAGACCTTGTCTCTCTTCTCAGTCAGTGCATCTCAAGTGCTACCACCACCTATCTGTCGGTGGAGGCTTGCATGTTGCTGTGATGCTAGATAGGTTTCAGTGGAGCTTCCAGACTAAGATGGACTAGGAAGAAAAGCCAGGTGATCTGTTTCTGAAAATAAGTCAGTGAAAACCCTATGGTTCCCATACAGTGGATCACAGTGGTCTAGTCCACAGCATATCATGATGATGGAGCAGGACTGGGCAGCATTTTGTTCCGTTGTGTATGATGTTGCCATGAGTTGGGGCCAACTATGGCAGCTAACAACAGCATCTCTAGTCAGCACATCAAAAAATGAATGAACACAATTATGTTACTTTTTTCCTGAAGTGTTTCCTTACTTCTCTCACTGACTGACTGGTACAAAAGTCTCATTCCATTTGTCTATTGATTTTACTGGTATTGCTATACTTTAATGGAGCAGTTGGTTATATATCCAAAAACTGATCTGTCATTGCATGGATAAAACTAGGAGGATTAAAATGGTTTTTAAAAATCTGCAGTTGCTAGTAATAGGACTTGGAATGCAGAATATTATTATATTTTTGCTTGATTATCTAATCTAAATTTAGTTGGAATTGACTTGATGGCACCTGGTTTAGATAAAAGGCTTAACAACCCTCCCCCCCCCCCACACACACGCACACACACACACAGTCTCTCTCATTGGGGTTATTTATCCATATGAAAGTTAAAAAGCAGTATCTTTAGAAAATTTAGTTGAATTGACTATAAAGGCCCAGAATATAGGCTTTTTATTACTTGAAATTTTCAAGTATCATGGTTTGGGGAGTGTCTTAGTCATCTAGTGCTGCTCTAACAGAACCACCACGAGTGGATGGCTTTAACAAAGAGAAGTTTATTCTCCCACAGTCCAGTAGGCTACAAGTCCAAATTCAGGGCGTCAGCTCCAGGAGAAGGCTTTCTCTCTCTGTTGGCTCTGGAGGAAGGTCCTTGTGATGCATCAGTCTTCCTTTGGTGTGGGAGCTTCTCTGTGCAGTAACCTCAGGTCCAAAGGACGCGCTCTGCTCCCAGCACTGCTTTGTTGGTGGTGTGAGGTTCCCCTGTGTCTCTGCTCGCTTCTGTCTTTTATATCTCAAAAGAGACTGCATTAAGACACCGTCTGACCTTGTAAATCTCATCAGCATAACCTCATCACAGTGATAGAATTTACAGCACATAAGGAGATTACATATAACCTCGTCACAGTGATAGAGTTTACAACACATAAGGAAATCACATCAGATTACACAATCGTACAATACTGGGAATCATGACCCAGCCAAGTCAACAGATATTTTTGGGGGACACAATTCAATCCATGACAGGGAGCATGCATGCTTAGAATATAATCTCATCAGATGATATACTAAAATTAAAAAAAGTATGTACATGTATATTAACAGGTTTGTGTAATTTACATGGCTTAAAATTCAAGAGATAGGAGGGTGAATACAGTATAACATCTCCACTCTTTTCTCCAGTGATCATGCTCTCCCCGGAAGCAGTCACTATTACCAATTTTTTATGTTGCTTTCCAGATATAAAGTGTATATGCACACCACACACACAAATAACATACACTAAGTTAAAATGTCTTATTATATAATTGTTAGTCATGCCCAAATTGTTTTCAAGCAAGCAGCTATGAAAATGCAAACTATAGATTCATCTAACTTGGTTCAAGTAGATTTGATAGGTTGACATTATAAAATTATAATATTTTAGATGTCACTAAAATTTATTGTGAGGCCCTTAGGGTTTGTTTGTTTTTGTGTGTGGGGTTGTTTGTTTTATATGTTTGTCTCAATAGTAGGAGAAATTTGGAAGTGAAAAATTGATACTGATTTAGTCTGCGTAAGTTCAATTCAGGAGGAGGATTTTATAGCATTGAATATGAAAAAGATAAAAATTTGATGTCTGAGTTCAGCCTACACACTGAATCCTAAATGCTCTAATCCTTTTACAACTATTTAAATTATGTAGGTAAAGGCATTGAAGAAAAGTTACGTTGCTTATTTGGTTAGCATAGGCCCTTTGGAAGGAGTTTTTCAAGTCTTGGGGTATCTTCTGAGATTATCCATCCTGATTTCATAATTCTAGAGCAGTTAACTGAAGCAACCTAAGAAATCCATATGGATGTATGGTGCCATGGAGACTTATAAAGGAATAGGAATACAAGTTTGGCTGCCAAGTATGCAAAAATTAAAGAATATTAGAGTTGGAAGAAATTTAGTAACCACCTGGTCCACTAAGGTAAGTTTAAACTGGTCATATGTGGGGAGAAACAAAAAAGTCCATGTGGTACAGTGAATTACTTAATATGGGCCTTCTAATCATAGTCTTTGTAACTCACACCAAATGACTGGGTGGAACTATGCAAATGAGATGCTTGTGGCCCACCAAGGGTGTTGGATAGCTTGCTAATAATGTAAATAAGGTTCATGCACCCTTGTGGGGATGGGACCATGCAAATAAGATGTATGGAACCCTACTGAGGGGAGTGGTCAGTTTTACCATCCCGCTAGGTTTAGAGGGAGACAGAGAGAGAGAGAGAGAAAGAAAGAGGGTAGCTGTAACATGAAAGACAGCAAAGAGGTGATGGATGGTGCAGCAGTAGCAAGAGTGATAGTGGTAAACCAGGAGACTGGCAGGAGACAGTGCAATGGGGCTTGCTGACCCACGGAGCTAAGAGTTGTAGCACTTGCCCCAGAAGGCCGCCAGCAGGGCCCGGTGACTGAGGGCAAAAAGAAGCTGTTCTGATCGAGGAACTGCGTCCTGAGTTGTTCCTATTACTCTCAATTTGATCTCTGTCCCGAGTTGTACCCTGTCACTTCCCTAATAAACCACTTAACTGTAAGTATGGTACATGAGTTCCAAAGATGAGAGGGAGAGTACTGAGGGGAGGAGGAGTAGTTGATGTTAGAGATTTTGGAGTGGTACAGCAGTTTGGAAAAGCTGGACATTAGGGACATCTTTAACTTCTACCTCATACGAACGAACTCTGTGCTGATCCTTATAAAAGAAATTATTCATTTAGTACAACAGCAACTGAGACCTATAATTATATTTCTTAGTAAGATGCTAGAGGATGTTTCTGGAATGGCCAATGTCAGGATTAAATTGGGAAGTGAACTATGTGATGAAGTTGAGGGGATATTCCTGCTCGCTGATGGAACTGCAGGAGTAAAAGTCACAGAAGATATAAGCATATTTGCTTGACTTTAAGGAAAACATAGGAAGGTGCAACATAAGTAAAACAAATTGGTAGAGGTGGGGCCTTAAAACCAAGGAGAGTGAATTTTTAGTTGGTTGAAAGAACAGCCAATGACAACTGTTCTCTTTCTTTTAGATTATAACCATTATTGTGTAATAGGTAGAACTCATAAGAATATAGTAGAAAAGAAATTCCTTTGAGGTTTTTTTTAGAAATACAAAATTAAAAACGGGTTTTACTGTATAGTTTCATATCTTGGTATTTTCAAATGATTTTACCATCAAGCACTTTTCTCATGTGGTGATTCTTTGAAAATATTTTCTGTGACTGCATAGGTTTCCAAGGCATGGTTAGGCCATAATTTTTTTTAACCACTCCTCTTTTAGACATTT